TTATTTTGACTTCAGACTTGAAGGATATTTTTAGAATTCTATTTTGACTTTTCTTTCACTTTCAACAATTTAAAGGTGTGTTTCCATTGTCTTCTGGCCTTCATTGTTTTTCATGATATATGTGGTGAGTGTATTTTTTCCTCTGGCTGCTTTTAGAGATTTTCCTGTATCTTTGGTTTTAGCATTTTGACTATATTGTGCATAAGTATGGCTTTTCTTTGCATCTATCCTGCAGTCCTATTAACTTCTTAAATCTGTGGGCTAATGTCTCTGAGACTCCATTTCAGTGTGTGTAGAGAGTTCCCCACATCAATAAGCAATTCTCAAATACCAGCAGAGTGCCTGAGAATTTAATTCAATTCTGACACTGTCCACCCAGAGATAGCTCCAGATTCCACAGGTTCTGGACTCAGACCTACAAGACTGCACACCACCCACCACACACAGGCTGTCACCTTACTTCTGACCAACTGGCTATAAATCAGAGGTTCCCACAAACCCCTCTCCTTGGGTTCTATTAACTTGCTAGAGTGAGTCACAGAAGGAAGAAAAACATTTTACTTATGAGATCACCAGTCTATTATAAAAGGATATCACTAAGGAACAGCCAGATGGAAGAGATGAACAAGGCAAGGTAGTGGGAAAGGGCATGGAGTTTCTATGCCTTCTCCAGGTGCGCCGCTCTCCCCAAACCTCCATGTGTTCACCAACCTGGAAGCTCTCTAAACCCATCCTCTCGGGTATTTATGGAGGCTTCATTATATAGGCATGATTGATTAAATTACTGACTATTGGCAATTCATTCACCCTCCAGCCCCTCTCCCCTCCCGAGGTCGGGATGAAAGTAGGAATGAAAGTTCCAACCCTCTAATCACATGAGTGGCTCTCTTGGCAACCAGCCCCCATCCTTACGTGCTTCCAAAAGACACCTTTATAATTCTCAACACTTAGGAAAGTCCAAGGGCTTGGGGAGTTGTGAGTCAGGAACTGTGGACTAACACTACACGAACCAGTATATGACAAATATATTTTGGTTATCTGAATGGCCAAATATACATTTCTTATAAATCATGGCATTGCAATGTCGTTCAATAATTTTTGAAAATTATCAGCCATTTTCTTATTATATCAAAATTTAGAATAGTAACTTGCCCCAAATCACTATTCAATGATAAAACAGATTCAAACACAGAATTCTTGATGCCAAATTTCATGGTATTAACCATTATGCTATACTTTTTTATTAAAACAAATGTAGGTATATTAGTACTAGAATAAAATATTCACATTTAGAAACTTTTTTTTAAAAAATATATTTTATTGAGTTTTTACAGAGAGGAAAGGAGAGAGATAGAGAGTTAGAAACATCGATGAGAGAGAAACATCGACCAGCTGCCTCCTGCATACTCCCCACTGGGGATGTGCCCGCAACCAAGGTACATGCCCTTGACCGGAATCGAACCTGGGACCTTTCAGTCCGCAGGCCGACGCTCTATCCACTGAGCCAAACCGGTTTCGGCACATTTAGAAACTTTTAATGGAAATCTTCAAAGCTATACAAAAGCAGACAGAATATTAATATTAACTAAAATGCAGACTTTATGCAAATTTTCTTAGATTTCACCTAGTGTCCCTTTCCTGTTTCCAGATCCCATTTGGGATACGCTTCACATTTAGTCATCATGTCTCGTTAGTCTTTTCTGGTCCTGTTTTTCAGTCTTGCCTTGTTTTTTATGGCCTTTGTGGTTTTGAGGAGCACTGGCCAGATATTTGGTAGAATTCCCTTAAATCTGTGTTCGTCATAGTAAGTCTGGGATGATTGTTTTTTAGGAAGAAAACCACAGAGGTGAAGTACCCTTCTCATGGCATCATATTAGGGGTACATGTTCTTAGCATGACTTATTTCTGATGTTAACCCTGATCGCCTGGCTAAGGTAGTCTTTTCCAGGTTTCTCCACTGTACAGTTACTTTTCACCTGGTCTAAACCTACTCTTTGGAAGCAAGTCACAGTGCAGCAAATACTCACTGTAGGGGACTAAGTTCCACCTCGACTGAACAGCATCCACATAAGAAATCTGGAGAATAAAAAAAAAGAAGTCTGGAGAGACTCCCGATAATTTTAAAGGTTGAGAAGCACTGATCTAAGTCAACTTTCACTTTATCCCTCTTGGTCTAGGGATAGACAAGTGAAAGATTCTGGAAAGGTTTTCCACCTCAATAAAAAGAGAGCTACACCAGGGGGAAGTTTTTCCTTATTTTCTCTGCTGGCAAGTGGAATCTTCCTTCCCTTGTGTGGGCTGCTGGTGTGAATATAATACCTTGGAGTGGCAGCCAATGACTTGTAATCATGAGACAGTAAGCCAGGAACCAAAAGCCAACATGATTAGGATGGCAGAACAGAAGCAGGGTGAACACCTGGAGCTATGTCTCCAGACTTCTTCTTACATTAGACAATTAAACTTCTTCATTGCTTAAATAACTTCGCTGGTATTCTTCAAGTTAAAAGCATTACTGATACAGATGTCTCATCCATCTTTTTAAAACCTGTATCCTGTACATCTAGGACGTGGAAATACTTAATAATTAGTTTTTGAATGAATGAGTGATGGACTGAAGGAACTGAGTAACAGAGTATCAATGTAACTAATGCCAGCATATTTGCAATTAGATTCTGTACTTCCATTTCTTTTCTCAAATACAATAAAGTTGTGTACATCCTGCCACTAGAGAAAAATTAGTATGAACACTTGAATAATGACCTTTTCTGATGTATGCATATCAAATTCAAACTGAGGTTTAATGAATGTATAGTTGATTAAATTTTTAGGACCTATTTATTAACCAAAATATCTCGAGTGGTTGAGGCAAACAATGGAATACCTACTGTATAGCTATGAGAATGAAAAAACTACAGGTGGCCCTTGAATACAAGGAGTGAGCAGAGTGGTTAGGATCACCAACCCCTGTGCAGTTGAAAATCCATGTATAACTTTTGACTCTTCCAAAACGATTAATAGCTTCCTTTGGCTGGAAGCCTTACCAATAACATAAAGAGTTGATTAAAACATGTTTTGCAAGTTATATGTATTATGTACTGTCTTCTTACAATAAAGAAAAAGATGTTACTAAGAAAATCATATGGAGAATACATTTACTTTATTTATTGAAAAAATCCATGTGTAAGTGGACTTGCACAGTTCAAACCCATTGTTCAAGGTCAGCTGTATAACGCCATGCAACAGTGCAGATCACTCTCACAAACATAATGCTGAGTAACAGACGCCAGACAGGAATACATGCTGCATGATTCCATCGATAAAAAGTTAATAAATAAGCAAAACTATGTTCAAAGTCAGCACAGTGTTGGCCCTTGGGTGTTTCTATGAAAGGGCTTTTGGGATGGTGGTGTTTCTTTCTTGATCTGGGTGTTGGTTGTATAAGTGTGTTCAGTTTGTGGAAATTCTGAGGTTTGTACATTTATGATTTGCGCATTTTCTGTATGTATGTCATACTTTGATTAAAAACTTCTCTGAGGTTTCTAGGTGAAACAAAACTAACCACACTCACACTACAAAAACTCACAATTGTTAACAGGAACAAGAAAAATAAGCGTCTAGGCTAGACTGGTAATTAAAAGTCACATTCCATTATATTCCTAATGTATTAAATTGTGATGAAAAAGGTAGGAAAACAATTTATCTACACTAATAAAAGAGAAACATGGTAATTGGCGTACGACCGCTACCCTTTTCATTGGCTAATGAGCGAGATATGCAAATTAACTGTCAGCCAAGATGGCGGCCGGCAGCCAGGCAGCTTGAAACTAACATGAGGCTTGCTTGCCTTAGTGACGGAGGATCGTTGGAGGAAACCAACGTTCTCCGCCTGCGGCTGCAGGCCTCTGAGCGGGCAGTTTAAGAAACATTGTAACAAATACCGCAGGGCTTCAGCCAGCAGATTCGCAACATTGTAAGCAAAGGCCAGAAACCTACTTTCAGCCGCGGAGGCCTAAGAGCTGGAGCCAAGCCTCAAGGTAAAGCTGGTCCAGAATAAAAAAAGAAAAAAGAAAAAAAGGAGCGGTTGGGAACTTCAGTCACTCCCAGCCTGAAAACAGCCCTCAGCCCCTCACCCAGACTGGCCAGGCACCCCAGTAGGGACCCCCACCCTGATCCAGGACACCCTTCAGGGCAAACCAGCCGGCCCCACCCATGCACCAGGCCTCTACCCTATATAGTAAAAGGGTAATATGCCTCCCAGCACCAGGATCAGCGTGACAGGGGGCAGCGCCCAAATCCCCTGATCGCCCTGTGGCTCTGTGTGTGACAGGGGGCAGGGCCCCAACCCCCTGAGCAGCCCTGCTCTGTGCCTGATAGGGGGGAGCTCCCCAAACCCTCCCCCCCCACGGGCCCTGCTCTGTGGGTGATGGGGTAGAGCCATAACCTCCCCATCGGCCTTGCCCTGAGTGTGAGAGTGGCGCCCCAACCCCCTGATCGGCCCTGCTCTGTGGGTGATAGAGGGCGGTGCCCCAACCCCCTGATGGGCCCTGCTCTGTGTGTGACGGGGGCAGCGCCCCAACCCCCTGACTGGCCCTGCTCTGTGCGTGACAGGGGGTGGCGCTGCAACCTCCCCATCGACCCTGCCTTGAGTGTGACAGGGGACAGTGCCCCAACCCCCCAATTGGCCCTACCCTGAGCGTGACTGAGGGTGGCATCACAACCTCCCAATCTGCCCTGCTCTGTGCATGACGGGGCGGCGCCCCAACTCCCCAATCGGCCCTGCTCTGAGCCCAACCAGGGGCTGCACCTAGGGATTGGGCCTGCCCTCTGCCACCCGGGAGCAGGCCTAAGCCAGCAGGTCGTTATCTCCCGAGGGGTCCCAGACTGCGAGAGGGCAAAGGCTGGGCTGAGGGACCCCCCTCCCCCCAAGTGCACAAATTTTTGTGCACCAGGCCTCTAGTATTTTAATAAAGGACAATAAAAAGTCAAATTATAGCCAACTGTTAAGTTTTGTGTTTTGTTTTTTTAATTCTAGGGTACATGTAGTAAAAAAAAGAAAACCACAGACACACACAAAACAGAACCAGAGTATCCGCTCAGGGGCTTTTTTCTGAACAAATGATGCCCGAGTCTTTCTCGCAGCATGCTTCTTAGCAAGTCTCTAAGTCTAGCCTGCCACAGAAGATACTAAGTGATGAGTCTCTTGCATGTTACTTTTAATATCTAGTATTTTCACTTCTGGGTAAGAGAAAAAGCATTTTGGTCCATTAATTCACCTACTCGCTCCTGGAGGACATTAACCAACTCTGCTATTACGAAGACATGCGTGTCATCAATGTCTTGAATGATGAACTTCTTCCCTAGGGCATTTGACTCATCCAAGTACAGCAGAAACTGCTTCATCGCAGGGTCACTGTAGAGGTAAACACATATTGATGAGAAACCTTACTGTCAATTTACACCAGAACCTGAGTGATTAGAATTTTGAGCACGTCGAATTTTTAGGTTAAGTTAAAAATCCTAAACTCTCACTCCCACTCTGCCTTAAGTGTTAATGATTTATAGATGTAGCTTCATTTTAGAGCTGTTAGTGTAAGTTTAAGAGAAAGAGGCCAATAATATTTTGAAAAGAATAATTTGTCACTGACAAGTGAAGAAGTAATGTTCAAAGCTTTGTAGTTAATAGGGCCTAGAATCACAGCCTCCTTAACTGACTTTAAAAATTAATTTTCTTACTTGTCCACAACCATTACATTTAAAAAGCCAATAGCTTTTCAATACCTTGCCAGTGACACGTTAATTTACAAAACCAGTTAAATTGTCACTTTATAAAGCAGGGTACACAGCTAGAGTCAGATCTGGATTCAACCCTAGCTTTAGCACTTACTTGTGTGACCTTAAAATGTATTGAATCTCCCAAAACCTCAAAGTAAACCTACATAACAGAATTGTTATAGAAATTAAAGGAGAAAAATGCCAAGGATAGTATTTGATCTGCAGTTGGTACTCAAGTATCTTCCCCTTCCTTAAAATTCTGAAGCTTATAAGTCTGAACTATCATTCAGAATCTTTAAAGAAAATTCTAACAAAATCTCTTTGTGAATGCTGAGCTCAAAGAAGAAATCCAAATTCAATTCTATTTATTTGTGGCTTTATTTTGAAATGAATAGAATAATCAGAAGGGGAAAAGGGATATAATTTTTTGGATTTACCGAAATGTGTCTTTCATCAAAGCCATGACAAGGGATGAGTATAGCTACAGAAAAGAGTCCAAGGACCACACCCTGGACAACCCAACATCAAAAGGTTAAAAAGGACAGATCAGCCCTGATTGGTTTGGCTCAGTGGATAGAGCATCGGCCTGCGGACTGAGGGGTCCCAGGTTCGATTCCGGTCAAGGGCATGTGCCTTGGTTGCAGGCACATCCCCAGTGGGAGGTGTGCAGGAGGCAGCTGATTGATGTTCCTCTCTCATCGATGTTTCGGGCTCTCTGTCCCTCTCCCTTCCTCTCTGTAAAAAATCAATAAAATATATTTTAAAAAAAGGACAGATCAGCAAAGCAGATTATAAAGAAGTGAACACTGAAGTAGGAAGAAAGCATGAAGAGTCCTGGAAGCCAAGTGAACAAAAGACATTCAAGAAGAGTAAGTGATCGACATTTGGGGAGAAACCAAGATGGCGGCATAGGTTAACGCGGGAGATTCCTGCCTTGAACAACCACTTCAAAAAACAACTAAAGACGGAACGGACATCATCCAGAACCACAGGAAGGCTGGCTGAGTGGAAATTCTACAACTAGGAGGAAAGAGAATATCATACCCAGACTCAGAGGAGGCGCAGTGCTGAAGTGAAATACTCAGGTGCGGAGTGCGCGCGAGCGCGGGCTGGCGGCGGAGGGCGCGGTTGTTGTTTTCAATCGGGAGGGAGTTTCAGACTCTGAGCTCCAGATCCGGGCGAGTCTCTAGGGACCCAGACTCAAACAGGAGAAGCGGGACTGTCTGGCTTCAGTCAGAACTCGAAGGCAGCTTTTTGTCCGAGGTTTGCAGCGGTTGCTGGGACTCTGTGAGGCAGAGCCCCTAGGGACGGAACTGAGAGCAGCCATAACTGCTCGCTCCGGCCCGCCCTGTAGATCCCCTGGGACCCGCCCCACCCAAGCCCTGCGCAGAGCCATTTGCCGGATAGCCTCAGGCAAACGCTAGATTAGCACCGCCCTAGAGATCCAGCACAGAAGCTCTCCCACTGCAGACACAGCGGACTCTCATAGCCAGTTAGCCTGGAGGTCAAATCACCCCCGGTATTGCCGTCAACAATCAAGGTTTAACTACAACAAGACTGCGCACAAAGACCACTAGGGGGTGTACCAAGAAAGCATAAAAAATGCGGAGACAAAGAAACAGGACAAAACTGTCAATGGAGGATATTGAGTTCAGAACCACACTTCTAAGGTCTCTTAAGAACTGTCTAGAAGCCGCCGATAAATGTAGTGAGATCCTCAAGAAAACTAATGAGACCCTCGATGTTATGATAAAGAACCAACTAGAAATTAAGCATACACGGACTGAAATAACGAATACTATACAGACTCCCAACAGCAGACCAGAGGAGCGCAAGAATCAAGGCAAAGATTTGAAATGCGAAGAAGCAAAAAACACCCAACCAGAAAAGCAAAATGAAAAAAGAATCCGAAAATACGAAGATAGTGTAAGGAGCCTCTGGGACAGCTTCAAGCGTACCAACATCAGAATTATAGGGGTGCCAGAAGATGAGAGAGAGCAAGATATTGAAAACCTATTTGAAGAAATAATGACAGAAAACTTCCCCCACCTGGTGAAAGAAATAGACTTACAGGTCCAGGAAGCGCAGAGAACCCCAAACAAAAGGAATCCAAAGAGGACCACACCAAGACACATCATAATTAAAATGCCAAGAGCAAAAGACAAAGAGAGAATCTTAAAAGCAGCAAGAGAAAGAAACTCAGTTACCTACAAGGGAATACCCATACGACTGTCAGCTGATTTCTCAACAGAAACTTTGCAGGCCAGAAGGGAGTGGCAAGAAATATTCAAAGTGATGAATGCCAAGAACCTACAACCAAGATTACTTTATCCAGCAAAGCTATCATTCAGAACTGAAGGTCAGATAAAGAGCTTCACAGATAAGGAAAAGCTAAAGGAGTTCATCACCACCAAACCAGTATTATATGAAATGCTGAAAGGTATCCTTTAAGAGGAAGAAGAAGAAAAAGGTAAAGATACAAATTATGAACAACAAACATGCATCTATCAACAAGTGAATCTAAGAATCAAGTGAATAAATAATCTGGTGATCATAATAGAATCAGGGACATAGAAAGGGAATGGACTGACTATTCTTGGGGGGGAAAGGGGTGTGGGAGATGCGGGAAGAGACTGGACAAAAAATCGTACACCTATGGATGAGGACAGTGGGTGGGGAGTGAGGGTGGAGGGTGGGGCGGGAACTGGGAGGAGGGGAGTTATGGGGGGAAAAAAGAGGAACAAATGTAATAATCTGAACAATAAAGATTTAATTTAAAAAAAAAAAAAAAAAAAAGAAGAGTGAGTGATCAACTGTGCCCAATGCTGTTAATAGGTATAGTAAGGTAAGGACTGAGAATTGACTATTGGATTCAGAGTTGCTGGACTTGGCAAGGGCAGTTTTGGTGGAATCATAGAGGAGAAAGCCTGACTGAAGTGGGTTTCGGAAAAGACAGAAATTAAAGAAAGTGAACACAGAAGGCCTTCTGGGAAATTGTGGTACAAAGAGCAGGAAAACAGAGTGGGAGCTGGATGGGGATGTGGGAATCAAGTGTTTTCACCTGGGAGGGGAGAATAATAGTATGTTTGTGATGCTGACGGAAATGACCTAATGGAGAAAGAAAAGCTGATAAAGCAGGAGAAAAGAGGAGAACTTCTGAAAAGGTGTTCTTAAATAGGCAAGAGGGGATGGGATCTAGTTCCCAAGCAGAGAAGAGTATATGGGCACAGACAGATCCATGTGGTAAAGACTAGTGGACATTCTCTTCTGATTTTTTTTTCCTCAGTTAATCAGGAAGCAAGGGCTCAGCTGGAAGTGAGGACAGGGAAATTGTTTGAGATATGAGAAACTGAAGGAATGAAATACTATATGTCATCCATTCTAAGAACCATTTTTCCTCACATTTTAACATCTTTAAAATTGGGACGAGTCTTACAATAAAGAGCACGTTATAGTATAATTGGCAGTGGTTTTTCTTAGAGGTACTTAAAATATTGGTAAGTTATAAAATCGATGAAATCTTAGATTTAATTGACTGTAAAAGCGTTACTAGGAGTGGGAGAAGTGGACTAGGAAATGTAGGTTTGCTGGCTAGCATTCAGGCTCCATGTGAGTTTATCAGACATAAATATGAAGTGAGACTAATTAGTATGTTTGTATGTTTTTCTCCAGCCACTGAGAATTATGGAGGTAAAGGCTCAGAGAGGGTGAAGAGCTGAATTTTACCAGATTTGGTGAGTGTGACAGAAGGGAAAGGGAGTTGAATGTGTCTTTGAGAGAACAAGTATTTGATGGGCTGCGGAACATAAGCTGGGAAAGGAGGAGAGTGAGATGTTGGGGTGGCGAAGGACAATGAAAAGGTGGGAGAATCAACAGACTGTATATCTGTAGAGTGGAGGAAATTATGGAGATATGGGGCATTAGAGGGAGTGAACAGGAAAGGAGGGGGTTGTCAGATGCCTACAGTGGAGACTTTGGAGATGGCACTATGGGTAGGGACAGGTGTAGGTCTGACTATGTGAATGAGTGACTGCAACTGGGTGGAGGGTAAGCTTACTGGAAGAGGTCAGGGAACTGAGAGGACATGGTATTGAAAGGACTGACCCCATGGACATCAAAATCACTAACAACATGACAGGACAGCTCCTGGAGAGTGACCGGTAGTCTTCAGAGAAAAACCCTCAAGAAAAGATCTGGGTGTTTGTGGATTATTCCAAAGTGGGTGGTCTGGTCTGATGGTATGAGATTCAGAACTGGGAGTTACTATGGAAGAGAGGAGAATTCCTAGAAGTGACAACGAGGAGTAAGGTAGATACCTATCCCGTTCCTGGCCCAATGGTACAAGAGGTATTAGAGAAACAATTCAACACTTCATAGGGTTGTGGGAGCAGTGCACTCAGGAGAAAGCCAGGTTTTGTTATAGCCTAAAGGAAAGGGGGCCTGGGGAAAGGAAGAGGAAAAGTTCAGAGAAGAGGCTGAGGGGGTTCTGTTGCTCTCTCAGGTTCTAGAGGGCAAAGTGCAAAGGATGGTGAGGAGATGGAATTAATAAAGTGGATGATACAGCCATAGACAATGCGTGTAAAAGGAGTGAGGGGTGGCAATGGAAGTATGTGGCCTTTTGGGGGACTGAAAACAAGAAAGAATATAAGGTATAAGACTGAGGGTCTCCTGACAGATAGTGACACTGAGACTAAAAGGCAACAATAGCCAGTGATGGATGGGAGAGAGAATGGAGGTCTCTGACAAAGATAGCTAACGTAATGAAGGAATGAGGTAGGGTGCCTGAGGCTTCAGAAGGGAGATGTTCACTAATTAGATGTTTGTCCTGCCCTACAGATAGGTCAGAAAAGGTTATTTCCGGTGATAATTCTAATTATGGGCAAGGCCCCTAATTTAAATTCCTCTATGTAAGTAAGCGGGGGCAAAAGTTTCTCTTGAGCCCGCAGGATCTCGACTGCCTTCAATTCAAAATACTCTACATACCCCAGAGGCACATCTTGGGGTGACTCATTCTGAACCCCTACACATGCTATCCTTGCTACTTACCAGCCATCTCTTGTTAGACTTGCATTACACATTACTTAATAGTTTTCTTTAAATTGCTTTCAAATCAACTTTTAAGCTTAACTTCACCTGGTACAAATCACCAGTATCTTGATGTGCTTATTTTTACCTCAAATAAATTAAACTTGTCACATAAAAACTAATTTTGTGTTCTAATTCCCCTCTGCCCCCAAATGTGTGTTTTCCTACCAACCATCTTGAACACCAGTGGTATCACTAGGAAACTGCTGACAAATGAGATGACTTAACCAGACCTGAGGCCCTGAACCTAACTGTTCCCTATACCTGGGCTCCTGAGCATTAAAGAGAAAAAACCAACATGATATAGAAAAATGTTAGTTACATGCAAACAAGTGGTTAGAATAAGATGGAACTTGGAGACATTGTAGAAAATAGGTCTACCTTTCATCTAGCGCCAATATTCCACCTTTGTGTGCCAATCCACCCAGCAGGATGAGCCTTGGTTCACACAGAGGTACTTCTTGCAAAGTGAGCACCAGATGTTGCTCTTCACCTTCTTGCATGGATTGTCTTTGTAAGACACTCCAGGATTTTGCTTGTTGTACCTGGAGTGCTTTTCCATGCACACAACACAGATATGATTACACGATGTCCCAGGGGGAATCTCTGCAAAATGATTGCCTGGGGTCATCCGTTGAGGGCAGGGTTCCTTTTGTGGGTGGCGGTGGGCTGTTGTCCTGTATCCACCAATAAGTGGCAGGCACAGTTTCTGAATATATCTGGTGAAATAAACTGGCTTTTTTTGAAGCAGCTTGCTGCTTTGAAGCATACAAGTGTAAGAATTATAACTGGCTCACATAAAAAATTTTATGAAAAGCAGCCGGGGCCAGCGGTAATGACGACGAGACCGGTGAAGGCGGGTCATCTGGTCATTTTTGTCACAGCCACCCATATATTTATTATAGTCCTTCACCAGCTGTGACATCTGTATTTCTTGCACACCGCCATCTTTATTTCTTCTGTTTATTACTACATTTTGGGCTGGATTGTGGTAGTTCGAAATAAATGTGATGGGCTTTCTATCCTGCCAAACTAAACATGTTACACTTTCTTGACATAGATAGCAACTGTCACCCCTAGCAAGTTTTTTTACACTTTTCAGTGACTTAGGAAACTGCTTCCTGTTTTGCTGCAGGGTTCCCACAATTCCTGTGTGTAATTCTGACAGTGCATATTTAGCAAGGGTTAGAGTTGTAGAACCGGTCCATGACAAGCACATGAGATTTATTTTCCATTGCACATGAGGTCAGGAGACGAACGACTGTATTTCCTACTGCGCCCAAGTCTTTTATAGGCATTGGTGCAGCACCAGTGTAGATTTCTGCATTCAAAATGTAGCGTCTCACCTTCACAGAGAAGGAAAGACTTGATGCCCCACTTTGTGGGCCTATCCTTGATATACTGCTTGATGGCCAAGCGGTTTTTTGTCGGGATCATCCCCTCATCTAGGCTCAAATGTTGCTTTGGCAGATAGAAGTGGAGAAACTTGGGGAGCAGACTTTCCAAGAAAGGCCTAACTTTATATATTCTATCTGTCTTATCGATATCTGTGTCTTCCTCATCAATTATGTGTATAAAACTCCAAAGGGCCAAGAATCTGTCTAGAACAGCTGTGGGCAAACTACGGCTGCCGGATCTGGCCTGTTTGAAATGAATAAAACTAAAAAAAAAAAAAAAAAAAAAGACCGTACCCTTTTATGTAATGATGTTTACTTTGAATTTATATTAGTTCACACAAACACTCCATCCATGCTTTTGTTCCGGCCCTCCGGTCCAGTTTAAGAACCCATTGTGGCCCTCGAGTCAAAAAGTTTGCCCACCCCTGGTCTAGAGTCATAACATTTCGAAATCCGGGAGTAATCCCAACAAAGTCAGAGCCCTCATTTGTCCAATAATCCCGATAGCTGGGCTTTATACATAAGTATTCCATATAGTTCCTCAGTCCAAGAAAAGCCTTCATTTCTTCCACTGTGGCATCCTTGAAATTTTTGGCATTGTAGGAGTTGGGCTTTGCTATATGCAATTGGTGGGCCCGGAGGTTCGTTTTCTGTCGAATTTTGCCAGAAAGTATCATCCAAAAACAAGGATAAAAAGTCAATTGGTTCACTCTCCTCTGTGATAGATCCAGGAATGTTCACTGGGCCTTTTCCATCCTCAGTGAAATTCAGATCTGAATTTGGTGATACAAAATTCCTTGTCCAACCTTCATCACCACCTAGATCTGCCCCATCAGCTGTTTGAGGGACACGCCCCCCTTCTCCTACTATCAATCTAGCTCCAGATCTGTAAGGTTCAAGATTCTCCTCATCACTCGAGCTCTCACTGTCTGTGTCACTTGAACTGGAAACGTATTCTTGATGAAATTCTGACTCCTCAGAGTCTGAATCAACCAAAGTATCGATCACCTGTTGGACTGTGATAAGCCTAGACCTACTTCGCTTTCCTTTTGAAGTGCTTGGTTCATCAGCCGCTCGTTTCATTGTGAATTTTCAGAATTTTTTCACGTCAAACCACACAAAGTCAATTCAAACACATGGGGGCAGACATTTGCAATGGCTAACCATGAGGTTTGACCACGATTGGCTGGTTATTTTTAGTTTGCGACGCATTTTTTTCACGTACTAGGCAAAGTACCGAAAATTAGGTACAGCGATATAGCGGCAGATTTGGAAATTACCGAAAAATCGGTACAGCGATCTGGTAGGGTTGAGTGGCTGGTTAGTTAGGCAATTTATATCAATGGCCTCCATTAAACTTTTTGAAAGAAAATAGAAAGCAGTCAATTTGAGATTGAATTCTCAAGCCTGTACCTGAAATATAATTTGTAATAATTCAAAATATAAAAGTTTAAGGGACAATTTGTTATGAAATGTACAGCACCTGAAATATCTTGCTGAATACAGGGCTATTCTACTTCTACATGGTCTCTGGGAGAACCTGCTGACAAGGCAAAAAAACAAAACCAAGTGCCCATATGTACAATGGCTTCCAGTGTGTTATCTTATTCCACCTCTTACCACCACCTGACACAGCCCACTCACCTACCTGAAACATTCCTAACTTCCCTCCAACTGCACTGTTTTATTCTGAACTGCTTTTGTTGGTCTCTCCTCTACCCAAACTTTAAATCTGCACTATGCGTTGGTAGCCTGCTAGTCACATGTCAGTACTGAGCACTTGAAATTTGGATAGTCTGTGAAATGTGCTGTAAAATAAAATCCACATTGGATTTTGAAGCTAATATGGAAAAAGACAGCACAATTTTGAAGTCTTAGTACAGACTCTGAAACCTTACTCCATGTGGAAATATTCTAGGCATACCGGGTTGAATAAAATATATTAATTTCACCTGTTTCATTTTACTTTCTCATGTAGCTACTAGAAAATGTAAGATGGCATATGTGGCACACAGTATTATTTCTATAGGGCAGTGCTACTATAAATGCAAGAAGTACTCAGGGATTTGGACTTGCTCCTCCCTCAGCCTTGCCATCACGTAAGCAGTACCATTATCCATATTATGACTCATATTAGGGGCCTAGAGATACAGGTAACAGTATTTTCAGAGAATGGGAGTGACCACAGATGAGACCGAATTACTGGTGGGGCAAGCAAACAAGTGGAGACTGAGCAAGACCGGTGCAGCAGTTCCGGTTTTCAGCTGCACGATAACCAAGCCCCACGTTAGGTGGCTTTGCGGAACTGACCCGTGCTGGGCGTTGAGGGCCTCGGCTCATTTAGGTTTCTCCTTTCTCCCTTGAAATGTACAACTAGTTTAAACAACCTTCACCTGGCTCACTTAGCTTTTTTTCTCCCTGCATTTTTGGAAGACCATAGTTTGTGAGGTGAAGACTTAGCAGGCCCTGAAATTCTGCGGTAGGCAGTTAGACAGACACGAGCAGAGCAAGGACAGTCACCCGGGCGGAAAGCCCCAGGTGCCTAGCAACGGGCAAGACTGGGAAAATAAGGACCTCACTCCCAGGATAAGCTTTCTTCCCCTTGTATATCGCTGGTCATTCAGTTTAGACGCCCTGAGGGGTGGAACAAGGGGGCAACTAGTGACCTCATTCGACTCCCATGCAGGCCCTTGCACAACCACTCCCTTAAGCATTAACCTCTAGGGATAAGATCTAGGCCTCAGTTGTGTTTCAGCTCCAGGCCCTGCACAACCAGACTGGGCTGACTCAGGACCAGTTCCATTGACTAATGACCCCTGACACCCTCCTGAAAGGACACACCCAGAAAGCTGAATATTTTATTGAGATCCTCCTCCGGGCCCGCCCCTAAAACCCTGCCTTCAAAGCCCTTAGGAAGGCGGACTCTCCCAAGAGCAAGCTGGTGCCTTTCTGCCGCTCCCTCCCTTCCTCCCAGGCCAGTGGCCTTCACCCTCTCCCTCCTCAGCTCCAAGGCCCTTTCTTTGGCCTCTATAACTTGTTTCCTGAGCCCATTTCTTCTACCGCTTTCTTCCTCTGTGACTTCCTAATAGCCCTACCAGACCGCTGTACCGATTTTTAGGTAATTTCCACACAAAAGTGGAATATTGGCACTAGATGAAAGGTAGACCTATTTTCTACAATGTCTCCAAGTTCCATCTTATTCTAACCACTTGTTTGCATGTAACTAACATTTTTCTATATCATGTTGGTTTTTTCTCTTTAATGCTCAGGAGCCCAGGTATAGGGGACAGTTGGATTCAGGGCATCAGGTCTGGTAGACCTAATTAAACTTTCTCTTATAGTTTGAGTCTTGGCTCTGAATCCTTTCTTAGCCAGAACTCAAGGAAGGAGGTTGTTGAACCAAGATCTGGTCTGACTCCACCAGTGTAACACCCGGTGCCCTTCTCACCGCTGCCAACAATTCTAGTCAATACCCGTGGTTTTAGAACACCTGCCCTGTTTCCCTACAGAGCGCGAATCTAACAACTATGCTGCTTCCCACCAAAAATGGGTGGAAATAATGCCAATTACATCAGTTCAACACAGCCACTGAGATCTGGCACCAGGAAGAAACTTAGCCACAAAATCTGTTCCATTTGTTATCTAAGCAAGAAAACTGAAGTCAAGGAAGGTGAAAAACTTGATTCATTCAGCTCTTAAAACAAAAGAAAAAACTCATGAAGTATCAAAGCTACTAACCATTCTATGAGCACTCCTTTCAAGACGTTGACCATCTTCTCCTCAGTCGGAAGATGCAGACGACCTTAAAAATGCTAACAAAAGGAAGACAGTGACATACAATCCAAAAGCATCAACATTAATACACTTTGGAGATTTACCTCTGAAATGAGGGAGAATATGAATAAACACCTAAGTCTTTGAGGACGGAGAGCTGACATTAAGAAAACAAACAGATATTCTGATCTTTCAGTAAAATTACACATCTACTGGGATATTAATGTCTAAACCTTACTTGCAAACAAGTTTACCAGTCAATCCTAATGAAAGCAAGCGGCTTACCGACACCAGTGTGTCCAACCCAGTTTTTAAAATTAAAACATTCGTTGAGCCCTAGTTGGTTTGACTCAGGGGAAGGAGCGCGGCCTGAGGACTGAAGAGTCCCGTGTTTGACCAGGGTCCCGGCTCCAGCCCCAGTAGGGGGCGTGCAGGAGGCAGCCCATCAACGATTCTCAACATTGATGTTTCTCTCTCTCCCTCCCTCTCCTTTCCTCTCTGAAATCAATAAAAAAATATATTTTAAAAAGTAATAAAACATTAGTTGAAAGATTTCTCTTCCCACACAAGAGTATGATTAAAAAAAAAAAAAGATCCTGGGAGGCAGAAATCACAGGATGGTAGCTCCGAAAGAGGCCTTAAAATTATATATTGAGTCCAATCATCTCATTTTACCGCTGAGACAGGGCCTTGGAAGAGATTAAGCAGTAGCTCCCCGTTCCCTCCCCAAAGGGTACAAGCCGGGTCTTCAGACTTGTGTTCATTTACCAAATAAATGACATTCCCAAGGATCTAAACTAAAAGGGAAAAAACCCAGCCCGTGCCCGCCAACCTAACCCTTAGCCTCCTACACCTGGTCCCGGGGCAATGCCCCCCAAAGGAAATTCACGGCGCAGTCACCGTGCGCCAGCCGCCCGGCCTCGTCAGAACGGCCCGAGGGGGTGCGGGACACCGCCCAGTACCCCAGCGGCTGGAGGACAGGCTGCCCGGTCCCTTCACCCGCTTCTCTCTTTCTTCGGGACCCCTACATCTTCCTCGCACCCCACTTTTCCCTCTCGTTCTGGGAGCAGACGCCGCGTACCTCCGCCCACGGAACCAGCAGCACTCCAGCGTCGCCTACAGAGCACGCAACGCCTGACGTCATCGCGTCGGCGACGCCCTGGAGGGTGGGAGGCGGGTGTGGGCGGGGCCGAGGGCGGGGCGTGGAGAGCGGGGGCGGGGTCACGTGCCGCCCGCCTCCAGGTGGAGGTCGCGGGCTGGCCGCGGGGGAGGAAGGTGCTTTCCTCGCTGACCCGGCCTCGGAGAGCTGCGGCGGGCAGGCCAAGCCCAGGTGCCGGCAGGTGGGAAGGGGAGCCGGGCTTGCGGGGGCGGGCGAGGGCGTCGGTGAAGCGGGCCAAGCGGAGAGCTGGGCGGGTGGCGGCGGGCTCGGCTGTGGAGAGGCCGGGGCGCCCCCGCGTGGACTGGCGGGCCTCGGCTGACCCGCTG